CAGCAGGTACACGACTAGATGAACAGAACATCACTACTTTATTTCCAAGTATTCCAAGACTGGAAACTCTTTAAAATCATTCTTTATTTTCTTCAGAGACATTATTGTTTCAAGCCATAGCTATGTTTTAAGACTGAAGTCCTCTTAGATAAAAGGAATGAGAGATGCTTGCTTCAAGAGCAGGCCTTCAGCACACACACATTTCAGCACACCACCTGGGGTCAGTCAGCAGATGCACTTTAAAAGCCCAGTGTTCAGAAAGAGAGGATGGTCTTGTGAATTATTTCAATGCATTCCATGATTTCATCCTCCTTGATCACAAGGGGTGGTGCCAGCCTGATGATATCCCCATGGGTAGGCTTGGCAAGAAGCCCGTTGTCCCGGAGTCGCAAACACACCTTCCAGGCATCGTAGTCTGCAAGGAAAGGGAGAAGAAAAAATGACCCAAAGTGGCACACCTTGCAGCACAGGGTACACAGAGGGCAGCTTGTAAAGTCCTTGCCATCTGGCAGTGAAAAAGATGAAGCGGTCAGCTCTGAGCATCTGAGCAGCCCCCCAGAATGTGCAGTGAACACACAAGGCTGCTGCAAAGCTGCCATCTGTCTGACAGGACCCAGGTTTCCTTCTAGCACACCAAGCTTTGCTCCTTCACAACTGAGGCCCTGACCAGGTGTAGCAGTAACTTTTAAGAAAAGAACCATGCCAGAGAGAGATCAGAGGACACCTGGACAGGACTACAGACAAGGTTGCATTTATGCCTGGATTTCAGTGCATCATGTGCCTGTCTTAGGAAATTACACCCCCCTCCTCCCCCCCAGCACTTTGTCACTTTGTGTGCCCAAGACACAAATCATTGTCTGCTCTGGCTTCTAAGCTGACTCCCGATGTAATTCAAGGTGTTAATCTGAGAAACTTGTTTTCACTCATTAGCTTTTTCCTTCCTTGTACCCTCTGGTATTCACTGTATTTTTCTAACTATCCTGAAGCAAAAAAAACCCTCCATAATCTGTCAGAAACTGGTTTGCAGATGTGGATAATTTTCTTCAGGTAAGGAGACAAAAGGGTATTTGCTGGGAGATAGATTCACTATCAGGTTTGGACATTATCACATCATACAATAATTCAAATAATCATTACAAAAAAAAAAGTTAAGATCTACTTAGTTAAAAAAAAAACCTATTTTTAATAGCACACAGTCACTCGAATACATTTTCAGTAGGTACTACAGTACTAGAGCTGAGATCTGAACCCAACATGATGCCTATAAGCCATCCCCCTGCTCCATTAAGATACTTTCAATTTCATTTATCTGAAATAGAGCAGATTTAGGTTAGATATTAGGAAAAAATTCTTCACCACGAAGGTAGGAAGGTGCTGGAGCAGGTTGCCCAGGGAGGTTGTGGAAGCCCCTCCCTAGAGATGTTCAAGGCCAGGTCGGATGAGTAGGCTGGTGGTTTCGATTATGATTAGGGCTGGGATTTATTGGGTAGGGAACTGGATGATCTTTAAGGTCCCTTCTAACCCAAACCATTCTGTGATTCCATGAAGTTAAAATACATTTTTCACACTGTGATTGTGCCGTTTTATTTCCTCACCTTTGGTTTCCCGAATTACAATTGCATTTAATAGCCCTTTTCCTCTTACAGCAGTTACAATATCAGATGGTGTCTTCATCAGCTCGTTTCTTAGTATGTTACCCATTTTTTCTGCATTTTTAGCCAGGTCTTCCTCTTCAATTACCTAAAGGGAAGTCAGATCTACAGTAAATGGAATGGCACTGCAGTCATGTACGGGCTGGACTAGATGACGAATGACATTGCACTTGCTGAGATACAAAAGCTGATACATCCAAAGTGGCACAGCAAAGGCTGCACATCCAAGCAGATTAGTATCCAGCCTTTATTCATTCGTGTTTACAGGAAGCAATAATCTCTTGGAAATTTTCTTCTAAAGCAACTGCTTCTCATTTGCCATTATTTACAAGCAAACAGTAAAGCTATGAATACTCTTGATCTGTCCGGGTCCAGATATTGGGCAATGATGAGGCTTTCTGAGTGACTTGCCTTACATGTAGTCAATTTTGCAGCTACAGAATAATTAAAATATAGACTCTGGACAAGACATTTCACTAACTTCTGTTTGAGCTTCTGTAGCACATACGTGTTACCAAGCTCACAAAGCCTCTGCAACATGGCATAGTAAAAAAAGCCAATTTAAAAATGTCTTTGTGAAGTTAGTGAAACTATTTTACCGATTTTTCATAAGTGCCTTGAAACTTCCCACATTGAAATTTTATTTTGTCATTTAAGACATTAATACCATAAAATACAGACAATTAGAACACATTTCCAGTGAAGACTTTAGACTTTCTTCCATGCAAAGAGTTAACCACAGTTACCAGTTTTCTATTCTTACTTAAAGCCAGATTTCTACTTGTAATTGTGTCACTTATTTAAGCAAAGATCATGTCAGTGTGACACCTTTTTTTCCCTTGGAATTCAAATCTCTGTCACGAGACACAAACCTCCAGTGCTGCCATTGCCACGCGGCAAGCCAATGGATTTCCTCCATAGGTAGATCCATGTTCACCAGGCTTAATGGTCAGCATAACTTCATCATCACAGAGCACTGCAGAGACCTGGAGTGGGAAGGTCAGCAAATTCCTTTACATACATATTTAGAACTGTAAACTTACATCTCTCTGAAGTAAACTTTTCCTCAGGGCTCAGCAAAGGATTAATTTCAGGCTATGGTGATAAATTACTTTAACATTCCCAGTTCTGTATAGAGGAGAGTGTATCTGCAAATTACCAAACAGCTTAATCCCTTAAATACCATGGGCTATACTGGTAACATGTAACATATGACTAGAGCTGAGGGGCATTTCTTCAAATTGAATGTTACTTCAAGAGTTTAAGCTTCAATACTCTGTTTAACAACTCAGAAATAGCTTCAATCAGACAAAATAGTCCAAGGCAGGTTGTAACTTCCAGCCTAATCAGCAGG